ATACCCTGCATTTCCGCCTGTCTAATTCAGTCTAATTAAATCAATTTAATGTGGCTACACAAAACCATCATCTGCCCGATTCGTATTGTGAATAATAGTAATAACAATAATAATAATGCCGCAGAGCCGTCGTGTCACAATCGAGACCAGCACACAGCAACACAAATCTGTGGCAAGTGCTTCTTCCTCACATTCCGCTTGCATCATTCACCAGCAATTTGAACATCAATTATGAGCAGAGTCTCGGATTGAATGGATGCTGATGGTTTTGTGTTGGGGTTTGCTGGAAAGGGGCAAGCGGAAGGGGATTCATCCAACATGCATGGAGAATGAGCAGCACTCAGCATGCAGAGACATTCAATGGGGCAGGCTCGCATATACAAAAAACAACAAAGGGTGGCACAAGCCAAGATGCATCACAAAAGGCCGACCAGAAGGAAAAGCAGTGGCTTCTGATAGAAGGGATCTCTTCTAGGGGTTAACATTCCCAACTTTCAAATGCTCATCAAACTGAATATCTCTGCATTTTTGTATATTTTTCCTCAGAAAGCGAAAACGGAGACTGAAATGCTTTTTCTTCTAGTTTGTAATATACAAAGACAGTGTTTGACTCATCAAAAATGCTGATAAAAAACAATATACTGTTTTTATATATGTTGGGATTTCTCCCAAGTTTCTATGAACTGCAATAAAGATTAGAACTTACCTCAAGCGAATAGAATTAAAAAGATGATTAATGCAAAGCGGCTGTTAACTATTCACTTACTGACTAATTTTGTATAACGTTTATTCAAGCCTTACGTCATTTTTTCAATTTAAATAAAAAAATACAGCTTTTTCTACTGATTTCTTACAGAAGCCAGGTAAACGTTAGAAAAACTTATTCTCAAGAGTGAAAGAAATTCACGTTTTCCGTAAGAACCCTCTTCGTGCCACCACTGCCCCTTCAGAGCCACAGCATCCATCAGCATCCCATTCACCTAACCTACTTTCAGGTCACTTGACGAACTGCCACGATATGAACAGACGCCATGCAAACCCCCATCCCCATCCCCACACTGCAACACCTCCTCCCTTCGTGACCCCTGGAAATGTGAGTGACCTAAATTGAGTTTGCATAACCGACTGGGGCAACTGTCAATGCCCAATGAAATCTGTTCCCAGGGTCAGAGGATGGTAGACCACAAATCTGCTCTTTGCCAACTGTCCCCAATTACATGAAATTATACCCGAAATAGCCCTTTCAGTTCTGATTTTTTTTTCCCCAGCTTTGTCCTTTGTTGCGTTGCATTGTTGGGAGCGTTTAAGAGGCATAATTGTGCGGTTAGTGTTCTTGAGACCATGTGTCAAGTGTCCTGACAGATTGTGGGATAAATGGCTGTCCGAAAATGAAGAAAAAATGTGCAAATACGCTCAGAAATCTGTACATTAGGAGGGGGAACTATAATAATTGTGTCACAGAGATATAAAAATAAAAAAAATACTGCAAATAATACAAAATTATAGGAATTTTGAATGATATATACGATTATACTATATTATTATATAAACTATTTAAACTTTTTTGTAAGTATAACTAATTTATCAATTAGCCTTTAACAGTTTTACATCCAAATACCGTATTTCTTTTAGATTTCATCTGAACAACAACTCAATTAAAAACTTAAGAATTAAAGTACTTCCCACACTCGACAAAAAAAGGGCAAAACGAACAATAGGATCAGAATCCACCCTCAAAACTCTCTGAATCCGGAATATATTTTCACACCTTCGCAAATGATTCGCCAGATAGCGGGATCACCTGTTAATAGCTGAGATTCCCAGGATGTCGGGCACAATGGAAATATCCCAACTGTAAAATGCTCAACAAAAGCGAAACGAAAGATTTGCGGGAAAGGAAAGGGAAGTAGAGAGCGGATGTTAAACACGCTTCAAGCGCAAGCGTAACGGAAATCAAAAAAGGGACAAAGAGGAATAAAAAATAGGGAGAGAGAGAGCGAGGAGAGACAAAAAGATTGTGGGTGAGGAAGTAGGAGATGGTGAATTTAATTTTACCGCTATGGGATCGAAATAGAGAGAAAAACGGATGTGGAGGAGAGTCATTTCCGATCGATCTGAAGGTTTTAAGGACCACACGCAGATCTTTGGACTTTAAGGCCTTATACACATACCTATATGATTATTATAAATCCTAGACTTAATAATATATTTTGCATTATATCCTATGATATCATGAAGACATTGTAAGATACCATAAAAATCTAAGATAGTCTAAACTATTATAGTTAACCTCTTCAACTTAAAGAGATGGCCTCCCAAACAAATATGTGTCAACTGGAACAAGTGTTTGTTTATCTAGTCGCGCCGGATAATTTATGGACCCAGCGTTTTTATCAACACCCCGATATTTCGTTCCCACAAGTGTTGCATAAAACTGATAGAGCGTCTCGATCTCTGCCCGCACGATCTCAATTTATTTGTATTGTAAACAAGAATATGTTCATAAGAGCAATCATAAAGCAAAGGCAAACAAACCGGGAAAGGCGCCCTTATCAGTATGACATTGAGACGATGTGTGGGCAAAAGGAAGGAGTGAAATGGGAGGAATGGGAAATGGGTGAAAATCAAACAAACAAACAAATGAACCAACCCGCCTATAAAAATCACTTCCCATTGCCATGTCAAATGTCAGAACTCGTAAAAAGACAATTTAAAATTGTAAAACGGAAATCTCAAATAAAAACATATTGAAAAGTCGTCTAGAGCTCAATAGACTATTTGATACTCAGTATCTTAAAAAAGTACTTAAACTTTTTACACAACAAAAATTTTTATTTTTTTTTATATTTATAAAAATTAAATAGAACTTAAATCTCTTATAGAGATCTTAGTCAAATTTTATATTATTTAGTATTTAAATACTAAAAAGGCATCTTGGCAAACCGTAACTATCATACTTTAAATTACCGTATAACTAACAGGCGCATGCGCAACACTCTCTCTGTTTCTCTTCTGCCAGTCACGTAAGTGTGTCAGGCTTATGTCATTGTGTGGGAGAGACGAGGGCTCTGTCTTTTCCTATCATTCTTTCTCTCTCTAGTCTACAATGTGCCGGCTCGTTAGAAACGGTCAACATTTGTTTTTAATCTTAAGCGTTTGACTGTTGATAGTTGGGATCGGTTTGTGTTCTTTTTTCGCGTTTGACGTGCAGGAATGCCGTCCGCAAGCGTAGCAAACGCAGTAACAGGGTGTTCCGTATACGCACTCATACACTCTAACCAGATGGACGCCGCGTCGCGCCGTACGAAGCTCACCCACAGACGAAAACAATCGGGCTGTTGTGCTCTCATTTCAGCCCGATAAGCTCCATACACAGATACCCTCTCATTCCCTCTCTCACCTCCTTTTTCTACTTCATCTCTCCTTCGCTGTGTATTTGAGTCATCGTCCTAAAAACAACACAGCAGCTAAACGAACTCCACTTCACTACACTACACTCTGAAAAAGAAGGACGAAATCTTAAAGCCCATAACCAGCTTTGCATAATAATCCTTAACTGTCCTTTAAAAGTATAACAAAGTATTAGATTTTTAAGATAATAGAAAAATGTAATAATAACTTTAAAATGAATATCATTAAATTTTCGCTCAGTGCACGCCCCTCTCGCTGGAGCTTCTTCTTCGCTGGTGTTGCGTTCATTGATCGCCAAGCCAATTGCTTCGAGTTGAGTTAAGTGCTGCGTCAACGTTGTTGACTTACATACTCGAACGCTCGCACACACACACACTGGCAAGCATATCTTGATGGCCACCCTCCTCATGCCGCCCACCCCCTCCCTACACCTACTCTCGCTCCATATTTTTTCGATGTCTTTCACCAATGGATTTTCATTTTACGCTTTATACGGCTCTAATTGAGTGCCTTCCAATTGGGTTATGGATTAATTTTTGTGCATAAATTAAATATCCATGCACACACATGTCTCTATAAAGCTTGTGTCTGGGGCATTTAGAAAGCAATTTCAAGTGGAGAACCAGCAAAAATGCAATACTTTCATACACAAACAACATCGCTCACAATGTTAGCTATAGGAAAATATCATAAAGATACAGTAGGCATTTCCGTGGATATAGTGATTAATGTATCTCTCGACAACAATGGTTTTGCAACTCTTCAAAAGACATGACTAAATATATCCAATATTTACTTCACGCAAGCCTGCTTATCTTATCAGACATTATCTTAATTTTTGCAAAATAAAGCTTGCAATTTTATCATTATTACCAACTGATTGAGCATTCAGGTTATACATATACTTTAAATTTTAAACTTCACAAATTTAGTATAAATTTAAAAAAAAAAAAAAAAAAAAGAGCTTATGCATGAAAATATTAATATGTAAAAGTTTAAATTTGTTAATATTCAATAATGTATGACTTTCAAACCTATTAATTTGACCGCAATTGTGCATACATAAATCGAATGACGGTATGCATGTATTGACATATAGGGAGTGTCGGAGTTTTCGGAATCGCTTAAGTCTCATATGGGCAGAACAATATAAGAAGTATATTTAGAAAATAAAAAATTATGGTATTTTTTTTAATGACATCCACTGTACTTTCAAGACCCCCACGAGATTCTTTCTTAGTGGTCCAATAAGCATCTAACAATGGATAGGGTAAACACTTTTAATTGTTTGCGGCGAGTGATTTAACTATCCGCTTGACTCCGCCGGCGTTTACAAGCCAATGCTCCTGTGGCATGACTCATGCATTTACGCTCACCGTGTTTTTATGTGTAACAAAAAAATTAGTCAGCGTTTGGATATTGTCTTGTTTCATTCATAGCAATCCGACAATTTCAAAACTTAGCGTCACGGTGTTAAGTCCCAGACGTGTGCCACATACACCATAGATCGATCCATGGAGCACCCTGTTCCGATCGCTGCAGTTGAATAAACAATAAAGTCAATATGGAATTCTTTTCCGTTTTTTTTATATGTAGTTAAACTAAAGAGAAGACTTTATTTTGTAAAATGCAAGAGTATATTTTGTTTCTTGATGTTTTCTGCTGCTGTTGCTGCTTTTGCGCTGGTGTGTCGGGTGTTTGGGGGTTTGGGTGTTTAATGACTTTATGCATAATAGGTAAAATACAATTACAATATCAATAGCATACGTTATACATGGGTTCACTATTCTTTATAATTAATTTTAGGATCAATTTCGCCTCGTACTCGTACATTCTTTCTGCTTAGGTTTGCCGTTCTTATTACTTTTATTTAAGCTTTAAGATATTTAAGTATTTTGAAAATACCGTTTTGTTACCGTCTCGATTTAATTCGTTTGCGCTTTGCAATGTTCAATTCATTAGGCTAGCAAATGTGTTTCGTCAAGTAATGCGTGGATATATATTGGTAAAATACTGCAACTGCTATGTGTTTATATGTACCTTTTTTTTGTATAATTATGTAGAAAACAAATGCAACGCCATCGCAGGACGATTGCTGTGCGAATAGAAGCCTTGTGGGGCGGCTGGGGGGCCCAACAATAGATATATTTATGCACTTTTCGAATTACTTTATGTGGTAGGTATAAGTAGAGGGTACGCTAGGGGTTCGCTTTCGTTTGTTTTGTTCTCGAGATTAGCGCTTAAGTATATATGGGTATTGGGAATGGACATGGACATGGGAAATAAGGAACAGGAAGAGGAGGTGGATGAGGAGCAGGGGGGAGCAGGTTGGTTTTTTGAGCGGGTTGACTTAGAACAGACCCTTCTTTTTCTTTTCCTTCTTGCCATCGACATTGTCTGTGCTGCTGTTGGCCCCCAGGCTGCGTCGCTTGAGCTCCTCGAGCGTCACATGGTTGACATCCTCCCACTCCTTCTTCTCGCGCTCGAATTCGCGCCTCTTTTCCTCCAGCTCTCGGATCTGTATCTCCAATGCCTTCTTGCGCTCTTCGTGGCGCCGCGCCAGCTCCAACTCTGAGTCCCTGAGCTTCTGCATCTTCTCCTTGACTTTCATGTCGAACACCTGCTCCATCTCGGCCTCCATTTTCTTCATCTTTTGCTCGTGCTCCCGCTTCTCCTCCTCCATTTGGGTGAGAGGATTCTTGTTGGACAGCCTGGCCTTGCCGTCTACCAGTCCCAGTTCGGATAGTTTTCGGCAGCGGTAGTTCTCGTAGTGGACGTTGTTCGTTACGTCCTTGAGGTCCTGTAGGTGCGTGCGAATGACCATGTTGCGCAGCGCTATAAAGTCGCAGTGCGTCAGATTCTCCACCTCCACGAGGCCCCAGGGATAGCGCCTACCGCGCACCTTCTTTCCGTCTTGCTCGATGATGGTGTTGGCACCCACCACCGCAAATGGCACTCGGCTGCGCAGATTCTGCGTGGTCTTGGCCTCTTCGGCCGCATCCTCCAGCGTGGCGGGAAAATCGTAGATCTTGATCTTGTGTTGGGCAATTTCGTTGAGGATCTGCTTCTTAAATAGATGCACTTCGTCGGGCGTCATGGTATCTGCCTTGGCGATCACCGGCACCAGATTAACCTTATCTGACAGGCTCTGCATGCAGGCAATGTCCAGAGGCAGAAGTCCGTGTCCCGATGGCGCTATGAAGTACAGGCAGCAGTGTACCCGACTGTCCGAGATGGTCTTGCGGTATACTCGCGATTCGGCGGTCAGGTACTCCTCGTACTTGCTATCCACGTACTCAAGAATAGGCACCCAGCAATTGCTGTTATCCACGGCATCACCGAATCCGGGTGTGTCAACTACTGTTAATGTTAGATTCACCCCATTCTCCTTGAGCATTACCTTTGTGGCCTCCACCGCCACAGTTTTCTTTTTGCGAAGCGACGGACCCGGATACTGCTCAGCATTGTAAATGTCCGACAAGAACATGGAGTTGATCAGGGTCGATTTGCCCAGCCCACTGGCACCAACCACCATTAGGGTAAACTCAAATCCGCGTTTGACGGCCTTGCGGTAGACTTGATTGGGCAGATTGGCAAAGCCCACATAGCCGGCGATCTCCATGGGCTTTTGGCGCACCGGTAGCGGTGGCTTTTGTGGCTTCTGTGCCTGTTGATGCTCCTTTTCCTGCAGATCGTGCGTCAGTTTGTTAGAATCGCCGTTGGAGGCGCCACCGCTATTGGCGTCCAGCTTGCCACTGGCCGTTACTGGCACACTGGGCGGCTGATTGGGAGGTCGTCCACCGACGCCCACCAAGGACTCGCTGCCGCTGCCGTTGGTGGCAGAGGACGGCGACGCCGATGCCGACGCAGCCTGCTGCTTGTCGCGCAGCGCCAATTGAGCCAAAGTGCTGGGCAGAGCGGAGATGGCACCGCCGCTGCCGCCATTGACCGCGTTCGAGCGAGGACTATTCATTGGAATAGCGCCAAAATCGCTTAGGAGCTTTCGATATTCGTTCGCTGATGGGGTTCACTGTATTCTTGTTAATTTTTCTTGCACAGAACCGTTGCTTTTTCACCGCTTTTGTCACGCCTACGCCAGCTCTTTTTCGCTCTTCACTTTTTTTGCATTTTCTGTGTCAGTAGGACCGTCCGTAGCAACGCGATAAATACATCTGCTTCGCTCTCGAAGGCAACAACAACGCCCCAGATCCGTCATAGTGTGACCCTAGAAAATACTAAATTGGAGCCGGAAAATACCAAACGGCGGCTTGGAGTGAGAGCGCATGAGTAATGCACACGCGCATACACACACATAGGCACATATGAAATGCACATGCAATCGGACAAAAAGAGGACTGTTTTTCGTGGCCTTATCACTTCGAACGGAATGTTATGTTTAAAAATAGGCTAAGAAATGCATTCATGTGTCCCAGCACTTGGGATTCCAGATTTCTGGCCTGAATGACTACTCTTGAGTGGCCACGGATCGCATTACAATTGCCTGCTGATGCACAGGAAGAAATTATCGCTGGGATGACTTTGACTTTTCCTTGGAGCAGGGACGTAGACGTGGGGGCTTTAGCTGTCCAGTTAAAAGAAGCATATTATATTTTTAAAAGTAATTAATATATTCAGACTGATTTCTTTTATATCTTTTTGAAATAATACTAGTGTAATATATTGAAAAAAAATGCGTAAAAGGTAAAATTAATAAATATGACATTTAAAGGTTTGATTAAATATGTTATGTTAAACATGTTGTTATTCAATTTCATCCCTTTTAGTTTCCACGCCCTTGTCTCTTGTGGTTGCTGTTTCCTTGTGGTGTTTGTTGCAATGTTGCGCATGACGGAGAGACAACTTAAAAAGAAGACGAAGCTAAGCTTATCTCTCTCGCTGAAAGAATAAGATGCTCTCTTTGCTAAAATGATGCCGTTCAGCGTGGGTGTTGTTTTTGTAATGCTGAGAACATGGCTTTCGTATCGCTCTCACACTTTCGCTTGCCATAACTCCGTTTGATTCTCTTTTAAGAGAGGGTATCAAGCTAACGCCTCTTGTGGGCGTGTGAGAATTGCTATAAAAAATAAGCTGGACTCGATAATAATTGCCCTCTGTCGGAGGACTCGCTTCATGCTCGAGTGTCCTCGTCAAAAGTTCCCACACACGCCTCGTCCTGGCACCCACCCTGACCCTCCTTCTCCTCTTTATCGCATGCCGATGCACACACGCACACACAGACAAAGCCCGTTGATTGTGCGCTCTTTCTCTCTCTTTCTGTTTGTTTGTAATTTAAATTCTCATGCACTTCTGGCGATCGTCACAAGCTGCCGAGGGAGGAAGGAGGGGGAGAAGGAGTGCCTAACCACCACCATCAGAGGGTCCTGCGTCCTACTCCGCCTGCCTTGGTGGTGGTGGTTTCCTTCCTTCCTTCCGAACTTCCCTCCTTCCGAACTTCCCCCTTTTGCACGTGGATTTCCACCAAACGCCGTCTGTGCGACATCAAGGTGATCGTGAGAAAGTTTTTTTCTCACATTATTCCACATCGACTCCTGTTTTAATTTTAGCCTCTGTCGGAATTATTATGCATTTATGAATTGATATGACTCGCGGTTGCTCGATTTTTACCCCAGGGGTTGACTGTACTTATTGGAAGATTTACAGTTGTTGACGTCAGGGGAATAGAAATGGAAAGGTAAACTGAGGGAATTTCTAGGGAAAACGATAGTTCCAGTTCCCCTATGTTTAATTCCGTGTTAGTCGATTGTACATTTCTTATAATTTCGAAGATCTCAGGAACTTTTAGGTTCTTCTTTAAACTTAAAATCTTTTTTGATTTCTTAAAATTTCGAAAGACCAATAAAGCCAAGACGATTTTTTACGACAGATGTTAGGACTAGCAGAAGTGCACCGTAACCGCAACCGCAAATCTTTACAATAAACAAATCCCATTTAATCTCCCCGCAACCCTTCCTCATCATCGCTGTTCTAGTGATCCTCAGCAGCTGTTTCGCATCAGGCACACTCCATATGAAATCAATTCCGAGACGCAGCTCCTTCGATATTATGTAAGATGTTTGCCAGCAATTAGAGCCCGCTAGAAGCCAAAGGAAAACCCCGAACGTCCCCTGGAAAGTCAGTTTTCCTTAGCGCCGACCATTGTCCGGGCCATAATCCATTGTTGTCATAGCCGAAAAGAAGTGACGGGACGGGGGATGCAGCCAGGAAGATGGGGTCGGCAGATGTGGCAATCTTTGGCACGAGAGCAAAAGACAGTTTAGTGCAAATGTTGGCTTAGGAGAGCAGCTGATCTTCCAAGTGACCGTTACGTCAGCTGGCAGGGGTCACCAATCATCATGGGATCAATGATCTGGAATTGACAGTTTTTTGGCAAATAATACTTCTATCTTAGAGATATTCAGCTTATCAAGATAGCAAGATTATTAATAGAATAAAAATTTTCAGAAAATCGAAAGTTTATAACCAAAGACCATAACAAAGGGCAAATGAAACCACCAAAAGCTTGACAATTTCCGTTTTATGAGAACTCATAACTTGTAGCCTTCATCTCAAAGTTTTCTTTTGGGTAAAAAATACTTTTTCCCCTTTCGGAAGCTGTCACAAAGAACTTTCCAGTTATTAGCCCGCCTCCTGGCTGGCCATTTATCAAATTCATAAAAATAAAATCTCCCACAGATGGAACCCCAAAAAAAAACAATCAAATAGTTGGGCGGGCCGTCACGACTTCTAATGCCCCGGCAGACCGCACACATCACTCAGGTTCCTTCCTTCAGCTACTAAGCGCCATAAAAATCAACAAGGAATTCATTTAAATCAACATATATCATGCCCTAAGGAGGAGTTCTATTCCTTCTCCCTTCCCTGCTGCCCCACCAATCCACTTGGGTTTAGTTCCGTTTGGATCAGTTCACACATTTGCTACCGTTTCATATTTTTCATGCTCATTATTTTTGGTTGAGGAGCGGGCGGGGGCGTTGCAGGCAGCACACCCCAAGTAATAACTGCAGTTCCCACAGCTAAAAATACATACACCCAAAGTCACTAATTTGAGGTTGAGAAAGGTCTCCGTCTTCATCTCCTGCCGACTTCTTTCCCTTCAGAATTGATTAAAAAACACAGAAAAAAAGAGGGAAGTAGATCGTCAATGGTCGACAGATCGAAGCTCCCAACCGACGACGACGACGTCGACCGGCTGTACAATAAAAATTAAAGTGTTTTAATGTGTAAATCGTGCGTTGGGAACAACGCATCGAGGATCGGTGGTGATGCCCGGGAAGCCCCAAAAAGGTGGACTGCCAGATACAGATACATATATAGTTATATGAAGCCGAAGCCTGGCTACCGATCAGCAGCGATCGTGCCACACTAAATGGCGTTTACCTTGATCCCTTGGCCGGGAAGAAAGAAAAAACGAAGACAGAGAAGCCACAGCAGCGGTGTTTGGGGCTGATATTGAACTTTGATTTCTGCCCGGTTTCTTCGTTATAGAATTTCAATTCTCAGTTTTCTGAAGAAGCTCTCCTCAGACTCTGCACGTTTCCAACCAGACGATTGATCCACATATGTCGGATGTTTCTGAGGTTTCTTCTCTTTCAGCTTCTGCCAGCTCATCGTGTTTATTTTGGGTTTTCGTGGGAAAATGTTTGCCAAATTTGTTCCATTCGAAAAGGAACCAAAAGTGTTCGTTATTAAGCTGGTTGATAGGTATGTTTGTGCGTCCATTATTCCAGATTTCTACCGAACCCCACATGGTTTAGTTGGTTTAGTTTGTCACAAGCATAGGCCATGGCATTTATTCAATTTACGAAAACTGACATGATCAGTGCTGCAGAGCTTGTGGATGATGGATGATCACCACAGATTATTGCTCAACATGGGATTTACGCTCAAGCTGTAAGGGATCACTTTGCACAACCAGAGTTGTCAGGCATGCGTCGCAATAGTTTTACAATCCCACCCAAAACTCCCCAAAACTTAACATAGGTAGAGACCCTGTCAGCTGTCAGCTGGCGTATGGCCCACGACCATGGTTATTGACAACTCCTTTGGTCTTAATCCTGCCAACATCGTAAAGTAATAAATTTGCCTGAAAAAGGAAAATCTGCCCCGTAGATCGTCTATAAAAACTGGCCGGAGTCAGGTAAGCTCCGTAATGATTGACCCCGAATCCCCTGAATCCGAGACCCAAGACCGTTCCAGGTCTGATTCTGATCTAAGTATCTCGTAAGTCGCAATCCCAATCCCAAGCAACCCCCTTTAAGACGCTCTTGATGAGGTTTAGTTCAGGCAAAAATAATGAATCTCTCTGATACTGAGTAATTCGCATTGCAAGGGGGTTGGGTTTGGTTTTGGGTTGTCTCGGGGGTTGCGGCAGCTGCTTCGAACAATCGCCAAGGAGTTCTCCTTAATGAATTGCAAATCATTGGACGGGCATTGATCAAGTTTGCCCTTGCCAAGGGTGAACTCAGGGCGACTAAATCTGCCATCAGCATTATCATCAACACCAAAACACAGCCGGACTTTTAGTGATCGTAGTTACAGCTGTCGTGGAAAATGCTACTTATTGATACAAGATTATATATAATACAATACTTCATTATTTATATATCTTCTAGATCAATTTTTGTTCTTTTAAAAGAGAGATTGTAGAGCTAGAAACGCTATAAACTCAATATGCTCAATATATATTCTTAAACTCTACATTTACCTTGAAATATTTTAATAAAAACATCTTAAAAGTGTAATAATCACTCACCTTATGTTGCCTAATGACTTGGCTTAAACGAATGTTGTGTTATTTCTGGCTCAGAGCAGGGCTTAAGTTCGTTTACTTAAGTTAAGCTACTATTTCTACCTAATCCCTCAGATTCCGCAATTCGTTGACACTCGACAACTCTGCCTGCCATTGCAATAAAACACACTCACTCAACCAAAAACCAAAGGCCCTGAGCTCATTGGGGTTGATTCTAAATAGTCATTTACACTCACTCATCGCTTGAGTGGAATTCCGCTGCTGCAGTGGAAGTTCTCAGTCTGCAGACGACGATCGTTGTGGCTGAGTTGACTACCTGCCTCTGCCGCTGCCTCGGTTAGCGTCGCCAGGTAAATGAGCGCCTTGAGTATCACTCGGGGACTCGTTTTGCCTTCGTCTCGATTCGTTTTTAGCCAGTGCTCGTCGAGTTCGAGGATCAGTATCCTTTTGGCATCTCGTGAGCGCGGTCGTCTGCCGCTCTCCCTCGCTTAAAAACCTGAAAAATTCTATACAATATAAAACATAGAACGACCTTAAAACGCGTATCGTTTGTTAAGTTTTTGTTGTTCGGACATTACTAAAAATTAAAGTACGTGCAATAATTGTTATAACTATTTTCGTACTTGAACCAAAGTTATTGTGTTGTGAAATAAAAAATTAAAACTAAAACCAAACCCGAAGCTGACATATATTTTGGATTACTTCTTACTTGGATATACAAATTAAAATCGTTACAAAATGGATTACAAAAACGATATTAATTCGGACGATGATTTCGACTGCTCCAATGGCTATAGCGATGGCTATGGCAACAATGGACGCATGTCCAATCCTAATGGATTGTCAAAGGCGGAATTGAGAAAGGTGAGTTTGGTACTAGCAATTATAATGCAAAGATGCAAAAATTATACATTAAAATAAGAAAAATGATTGTGAACAGAAATTCTTGATTGCCGTAAGAAAGTATCGAATTTCATAAGAAACTGAAATACTTCAGTTCTGATGAAAAATTAAACGAAACCATAAACTTAAATTTGCCCAAAGTGTTGTCTAAACATCACCTTATTAATTCTATTAAATTCTTTTTAATATTAACAATTAACTAATTGCTTTTCTCTTTCCCTTTTTTTAGACAAACAAACCGATTATGGAGAAACGTCGTCGGGCTCGCATTAATCACTGCCTGAACGAACTGAAGTCCCTTATCCTGGAGGCCATGAAAAAAGACGTAAGTATCCTCTCCTCTCAAAAGAAGAAAAGAAAAGGAGTTGCCCGCCCGCGATTTAGAAACTAGGCCCCCGATCCATATCACTTCACTTTCCCTATAAATTATGTCAGACCATAAAAAAAAGACCAAAACCCTTGAGACACAAGTGTCCAAGAGGCGGCGAAACTACAAAAGGATAAAACACAGAAAACTATATAAAAAATCAACTCCTACGACACACGAACGGCTAAGAAGAGAAAAAAAACACAAACCAAGGGCTCTAATTGAGTATTAAATTTTATTGATGATCATTACACGAGAGCGCCGTTGAGGAGTCAGTCAAAGGGACCAAAAAGTGTTAACAAGTCGAGGAATTACGCAGAAATCGCTGGAGATGCTAAAAAAGAAAACCAGTTTCCAGGGAGGTGATCCTGCTGTGAGAAAACTACAAAGCAGAAATCAAGTAAAATTTGCCGCCGAAGAATTCTGCAGGAGAACCGAGTCGGTCCAAAAATCAAATAAGAAAGACATTGAGGGAAAAAAAAGCAAAAGTAAACAAAAGGTTCAGACAGGCCAGAGCGGGGGAGGGGGCTGAGGCGGAGGCGGGGTCTGGCGAGCGACCTGCGTGGGAACCTTTTGCTAAAATATGCAGCTCCCAGAAGGCGAGAAAGAGACGGAGAAACGGGAGGGCGAAGAATGACGAAGATTCGCACTGAGCGAAAAGGAGAAGATTTTGAAAAAAATTCTGAATTCTTAAAAGGGTTTCTTCTGTGGGGAAATAATGGAAACCTTAGCTAAGTTACCTTCTTTTTCTCTCAGTGCACCGCTCACAGGTCGGTCGTTCTTCTTGCTGTAGTTGCTGAATCTCACCTTGGTCGTGTGATATTTACTGAGTGGTCCCGACCGAAGTGGACGGCAGATTACACGCGAATAGTTGGACATATGAGGCACGAAACGTGCTCCTTAACTTAGCTTTTTCCCAAGCCATTGAACTTGTTGTAGGGCCCCAAACAATTAGCCCGACCATCTCCCACTCCCATCATCTTCATTTCATCATTATCTGACTTTGGTTTGTTCTTTTTCTCTACTTTTAGCCGGCTCGTCATACCAAACTGGAGAAGGCCGACATACTTGAGATGACGGTGAAGCATCTGCAGTCGGTGCAGCGCCAGCAGCTGAACATGGCCATCCAATCGGATCCAGGAGTGGTGCAGAAATTCAAGACCGGCTTCGTCGAGTGCGCCGAGGAGGTTAATCGTTATGTTAGCCAAATGGACGGCATCGATACGGGTGTCCGTCAGCGTCTTAGCGCCCATTTGAACAATTGCGCCAACAGTCTGGAGCAGATCGGTTCGATGAGCAACTTCAGCAATGGTTATCGTGGAGGATTATTTCCCTCAACAGCTGCCACCGCTGCTCCCACTCCATTGGTCCCGACGTTGCCGCAGGATTTGAACAACAACAGCCGCACGGAGACCTCAGCTCCAGCTATTCAAATGGGTGGACTTCAGCTCATCCCTTCGCGACTGCCCTCTGGGGAGTTTGCCCTTATTATGCCAAATACCGGATCCACAGCTCCGCCACCGGGTCCCTTTGCCTGGCCAGGATCTGCAGCAGGAATGGGAGCCGGAACGGCCAGCGCCGCCTTGGCCAGCATTGCCAATCCCACGCACCTGAGTGACTACACACAGAGCTTCCGGATGAGCGCCTTCAGCAAGCCAACTAGTAATCCCGCTCCGGCTGGTCTTCAGGGAAATCTCATCCATCCACTGCCCGTGCAGACCCAGCTTCCCGTGAAGAACAACTCGAGCAGTCCACCACTGAGTCCCATTTCCTCCATCTCCAGCCATGGCGAGGAGTCGCGGGCTGCCTCGCCCTCCGTGGATGTGATGAGCAAGCACAGTTTCGCCGGAGTTTTCTCCACTCCGCCGCCCACCAGTGCTGAGACCTCATTCAACACCAGCGGATCCCTCAATCTGAGTGCCGGAAGCCACGACAGCAGCGGCTGCTCGCGATCGCTGACCCACTTGCAGCAACAGCAAGTGAGCTCCACCAGCGGAATTGCGAAGCGGGACAGAGATACGGAGGCCGACTCCAGTGACTGCTCCCTGGACGAGCCCTCGTCCAAGAAATTCTTAGCAGGCGCCATCGAGAAGTCCAGCTCCGCCTGGAGGCCCTGGTAGATCAGCTAAAGAACCCATTTCTATGTTACGTTTATCGATTGTTAATTTATTTGATTGCAATTTTTTTCAAAGATCACCAACTCGAATGCTTTAGAACCCCCCCATTAAGTTTCAACGATTTCTATATGTTTTTTATATATCCACGTTTCGCTTTCTTCATTTTTAAGTTCAGCTGTGATTTTGTATATTTTTTGTGTAATTCTCATTTAAGCATTTTTATACGCCTATTATGTAGTTCATTAACTAAATATGTTCTTTGATGTTTCTTCTTCTCAATTATTTAAGCAATTAAAAGTGTTTCTATTTAAGTTATGTAGATTTCATTGTATAGTGTTTATCATTAAGTCTTTCACGTTTCTATGTTTAATTATAACGATTGTAATTTTAGTTTTTAGTTAATGCAAGATTTAATGACTGGAAAATGAGTGAAAATAATGATAATAAAAGACAAATGCTTAAAAGAAAAGCAAATTATTGAGAATTTTATGGGATTATTATTGGGGTTGCATTTATTAATCTCGAACTTGAACTCATTGGAAAATCGGAAGCAATAATCATACGGAACTACCCTTCCCATTTATGTTCAATGTTTTTGCAAAGCTCTATTAATCAGATAACCCCAATCGTAAGCTCCCGATCGAAGCTATATAAGCTCAGGGCAATCATTTAGTTGGCGAAAAACAAAAATTATTGCAAACGAGAGCGCGCAGTGATCTTCAGGCGTGCATTGAAAAATCTCAAAAGACATTAATAAAGTTTAATAAAAATAAAATAAAATGCTGACAAATTCGTTAAAAACTATACTTATATTGGCTATCATGCCACTCATAAGTTTAGCTGTCAATCCGGAAGAAGATCTACTTACGTACAGAGCTTCCCCAAAACTCACGGGACCTGTAAAGCTTCTACACGATCCCGAAGATGTCTTACTGAATACTTTGGATGCAGATCTGGAGAAGATTTCCACGATCTACATGCAGGCCTTGTTCGCTGGTACTCACACACCGGAACTAGAAGCTCCACTGAGAGCTTTGGAAATGGAATTGTTCGATCTGCTGGATCAGCTTTATCAGCAGAATCGTCTCAAGGACTATATGAAGTACGAGGCGGAAGTGACTCGGCAAATGATAATCTACAACATGCTGAAGAGATTGTTTGGCTACACTCAGGATGTGGTGGAAGTTGAAAGAATCTAAGCTGTAAATTATAAATTTGTTTTTAGATTTAAGGTTTAAAGTTAAGGAAATTAAATGTAGGAGAATAGATAAATTGACTTTTGATTTTTTCTTAGTGTAATAACCTCTTGAAAATTATTTAATAAGGTAACATCCTACAAATTGATTTACATCCTCATTTCCCATTTTCAATTTTCATTTCCCCTTTCTTGCCTTTCCCTTTCGACCCTCCTTTTCTTTGATTTTTTATTCAAAAATTTGATTTCACTTCCGTAATAACTTCCGCAACAGCCTGTTCTCGTCCTACGGCTGCCTTGCGTGTGGCTGTCGAGCGTCGCCCCCGCCTTTCGAGGGTCGGGACTCAACTCCGCTCCTTCGATATTCCGATCCTTGGGACTTCCCACACTCAATCATATCGGCGCTGCTGTTACCCGATCCTGCTGTGAGAAAAACAACAACACCTCCGTGGAAAGATCGAAAATTATCATAATTTCCATTTCCTTTTTACGCTATTATCCTTTTGCATTTCCAAATACCGTTGCACTTGTTCGTGTGTTTCCCACACACATCCTTGAGATCCTTTATCTTTGCTTGTTTGCTTTGTGGTCGTTCGCAGGGATCCCCTACCCCCATCCTCTCCTTCGTGCATTCCACTTGTCTTTCGAAGGATCCTTCGGTGCGATTCCTTTGTTTGCGTTGTGTTTGCTGTGATTTGATGCTGGGATCGGAATCTTGAGACTTTTTCAGTGAGGTTTCGGCTATCACTTTTATTTTTACTTTTGATTTCATTCTCAAGAATCTCTGTGGGAATGAGCACTTACCTTGATTTCATACGAATGTTAGGGCATTTACCAACATTTTTAAGGCTAACTTGTTTTCCATTATTAACAGATTTCATCTTAGCGCCTGCCTCATTCTTTTGTTTTCGTATTTCGGCATATTTAATTGTCATTTAACAAATTAACTTGCCAAAAATACGAAAAACTCTGGCACTGATTTTCCCACAGACAAATTTCGTTAGCCCACAATAGAGTTATTCCAGCAGAAAACAAAGTCATGCGGTGTTTCGCAGGAACTCTCCCACACACACGCACACATTTTGAATATGCCCCTGTGATCCTTTTCTGCTACAAGAAAAGGATGAAATGTATCCCAGCTACCTGTGCAACGATCGGCAAATTCAAATCGCTTGCATTTCTCACAGAAGAACAAAACGTAGGCACTGAATGGGCCCAGCTATCTGGTTTTCTTGGGCTGATTCGGTTTTCTTGTGGGTAACAAGTGTATCTATCAGTATCCGTGAGATGGTCCTGATTGACCAGCTTTGCGCAATGGGAAATGTGGAAAAGTGTTTCCTTTAGTTTTCCCAGGATATTGAGCGCCATTCAAATTCCTTGAGAAACAAAAATCCATGATTTTTCTTTGTTTTTCCCTTAGAGAAAATCACCTTAGCTCTTTTTATTTGCGAATTAATGCATATTTATTATATTTTTACAGTGCGTTATCTGTTGTGCGTTAGTTTCCGATTCGCACATCGCTTAATTAATTACATACATCATTATAAATATCATTTTTTACATTGTATAGTTTTTAAAATTTGGCTTTTATCTGAGCATTATTTTATACAGGAAAATCTCTTTAGATTGTAGGTCGATTGATTTGAAAATCGTGCAACTAAATGATGCTACACTTACATATATGTAGTCATAAGTATTCTAATTGTGTAAAGTTATGTGGTGATGCAATTATTCCTAAGCAATTTGTTCGTTAATTTATAATCATTCTGTTTGTGCTGGCTCTGGTTCGTCCTGGCATTTCGAAGACTAAATTAATTTAAATGCATATTTGGTCAATCTCAGGAGACGAATTCGATTTTGCTCGCATTCACTAATTGGCAAATTGTTAGTGACTGATCGAATGGTTTTCTTTTTTGTATTCGTTTAAATGTTAACTAGGCTGCTTGTGGGCAATAAATTTATAAAATATGTACAACGTTCTCTCTCTCTCTCTCTTTAGCTCGCGAGCTTTAACTAAATCTATCAACTACTAAATTTACAGATCCACAAAACGTTTCGGATATACACAGATTCACGTATATTAAAAATTCATTTATCAAAAGGCGCATTGCTTGTAAAACGACGTCTAAACAAATGACAAGAAGACTTCCCGGTTATAAGTTATAAGGACATCATTAGGGTTATAACAAAGGTAGCAAAGCTAACCCAGTTAGAGCTCTTTGGATGAGGGCCAAGTTTAGGCCAACAAATTAAAATAATATCAAAAATTAATAGAAGGAAACAAAATGTACACAAAACGTTCACAAAAGTTCGTTATATGGCTAAGCTATCAGTCCATTGTTCGAGTTCAAATCGTTATTGAGTGTTGTTGTTGTTGGGATGTTGGACGTCTCCGTGGCCGACTGCGCCTAGCACAGTTCCCGGTCGCAGCGGGTCAATCATCAAAGGATATCCGGTGTGTGATTCTCGTCATGCGTGTGCTGTAGCAGACCCTTCCGCTCATCTGTACCCGTGCTATGCGTTATTTCTGTGCTGACGGGCTCTGGAATGGCATCGGCGTACATCGATTCGTACACAGGATTGGCAAAGTTTCCCTGCAAAATAAACTAGAGTTAGTTGTGGTAAATGGAAAATGTAAACTAGGGGTCTATAGGGGGATCTATCAGCTTCATCCATACCTTGTCATCCTCACTGGCAAATGTGGGCGCTTCATCTGCATCCCCTCGATACATGGCATTGGTGAGCATAATCTCCACATTGTCTGACAGTCGAGCATGTGAGAATGGCTGAGCTATACGATGTTTTCTGCAAAAGAGATAGATAATCGATTATATAAAACAGAAACAAACTCAAATCAAAGAGAACTCACTTAAGGAAGTAAAGAGCACCACCGAATAGGGCTACCACCAATAGACTCACAGCCAGAATAATGGCCAACACGGAGAACACTCCGCCAGTTTCCGTCGTTTCCTGATCGCCCTTCAGGGCATCGGCACTGTCCGCCAGACACGGCACTACTCTATCGTTTTCACACAGGCACTCATTGATGAAGCTGCCCGGTCGACAAACATTACACACGCCACCGACACAAGGAGGCGGCATTTCACAGGCATTTCCCTGCCATTCACCGATGCAGCTACAATGGGGCTGGGTATACTCATCCAAGTGGCAGACACCACCATTTGCACAATATCGAACGCAGGGATTGTCATCGGAAACAGGCATGGTGCAGAAATCTCCATTCCACTGATCCGTGCAATTGCATAGCGCCACTCCCTTGATCATATGGCATCTACCGCCATTCTGGCAGATTATCAACGTGCAGGGATCCCTTGTGGGTACAATGGTATTATCACAGAAGTGCGGCGGTCTCGAGGTCTTGCACAGATCCGACTCACAGCTCTCACCAATGTACCGCTGTGGACAGGTGCAGGTATGGCGACCACCACGCTCCGAGCAGGTTCCTCCATTCTGGCAGAAGTCCCGGCACGAACTGGACTCACAGTGTTCTCCGAAATAGCCACTGGAGCATTTGCACTGCCGCTGGCCCTTGGTTCCGATGATACAGGATCCACCGTTCTTGCAAAAGTCGGCGCACTCGTCGATTTCGCATCTCTTTCCGGTAAAGCCATCAGGGCACTCGCATTGTGGGTTTCCTGTTAGGGTTTCCCGGCAGATACCTCCATTCTCACAGGTAAGGCTTTTACAATGCTCGCATTGATCGCCAATGAACATTGGCGGGCAGTTGCACTTCATTCCTTCGGTTTCGGAGAGCAGACACGATCCTCCATTGTGGCAACGGCTCTGGCAAGCAGGCATGGAGGTCTCGCAACGTGCTCCCGACCAGCCCGCCGTACAGGTGCACTTTAGTGGCGGCGGTTCTTGTGATCCCGGCATCTGTGGCGCAACGGAGCACACTCCGTAGTTCTGGCAATAGCCGGAGCAGCGGTAATGCTCGCATAGCTCTCCCTCAAACTGAGGCTGGCAAATGCACTTGGGCACGTGGTCAACGATCTTGCAAGTGCCCAGGTTGCACTGCAGTGGACAGTAGTCAGGGATATCCGCATGCGCCTTGCAAACCTCATCATTGGTCATCACATAGCCTTCGGGGCACTTGCAACTGTAGCCAGTGGGGGACTCCGATGAGAGAATGCATAGGGCGCGAGAGGATTTGCAGGGTTCCTTGGAGCAGGGATTGCTTACTGTAAGAAGTAAATATTTCGGTTAAGTTATAGTTAATAAAGAGAAATCATGAGAACTTACTATTCCGGTTTTGTTTCATTGGGTGCAGAATGCCAATATCAGATGAGCGATAGCCCTTCAGCAAGTATGTGCCATTGTCGTTGCCAAACTTGTTCATCTTGATGATGCTTTGATCATAGAGCTTGATGTACAGGTAATCCTCAAACACGTCGATCTTCTGCGGCTTCTCTCGGTTTCCAAAACGGCGCACCACATTACGATCTTTGCCATTGAGGCGACATGTTTCAATCGTTCCCTTGCGATAATCCGCCCAGTACAAACGACCTGTCGGATAGTCCATAGACAAGCTGATTGGCCAGCCTACGTCGCGCTCTACCAAGCTCTTCTTGTTGCTGCCGTCCAAGGAGGCAACCAAGATGCCGTTCTCCAGCGTGGACCAGATCATAATCCGCGATTCGGGCTCCAGGACAATATCTGTGGGATTCATGCCAGTTGAGACGAGAGAAATATACTTTTTACCCTCAATATCGGTGGCCAGAATCTGGTTATGTCGGGAATCAATAATGTAAACACGCTGGGAGATCCAGTCCACGGCTAAGGACTTCGGATCGTCCAATTCAGGAATCTAAAAAGTAATATTTTTTAAATATTTGTATGTTAAGAATAGTTGTCTGTTTACTCACATTAAATGCAGTCAGTTCCTTGAGATCACGACGGACCCTTACTCCCGTTCCCTCCACATGCGGAGTGGCTATCTTCATTGTGTGAACCTTGCCGTGGTGCGAGTCAATCCAGAAGAGCAGCGTATCCTTAGGCCTGATCAGTATATCAAACACATCGATCTTAAGGCTATCCGTCTGGAAGAAGCCCACCACAGTGGTGCCCTCCTGCTTGGCAGGCAGAATGAATCGGAACTCCTGCTCCGAGGCTAGTAATAGAATCTGATCCGGTCCGGATGCCAGGCAGGTGGCATTCTTCTCCGGCCCTTTGTGATAGCCATCAGCACACTTGCAGTTGTAGTGTCCCGCCTTCTTTTCTATGCAGATCTGCGAACAGCTTCCAAATCCGCAAACCGGTGGCTGGCAATTCATTTCGTCGGATCCGTCGATGCAGTTGTACTGCCCGTCGCAACGATAGGCCTTCGAGATGCAGTCATCGTTCTCGCACTGGAACTGATCATGTCGGCACTTGGGCAGAGCCGCACACACCGCATCGGATTCATCTTCGTTTTCCCCGCAATCATTGACTCCATCGCAGAGGGCTGAGTTCCGAACGCATAGCTGATTGCGACACTTGAAAGCGTTGGCGTGGCAGTGGGTTTTGGCACAGGTTTCCAAGCTCTCGTCACTGCCATCCAAGCAGTCGTCCCAGCCATCGCACTTCCAGCGGGACATGATGCATTTTCCGTTGCCGCAGCTGAAATGATCCGAGTGGCAGGTGCAGTTAACTTCGTCGGAACCATCCGGGCAGTCATCGTCGCCATCGCATTTGTATTGCCTGAAATGGGGAGATGTTTAAATCAAGCAATCAATTAATTTATGACCACTCACTTGTTAATGCAGGTGTTGAAGGCGGCGCACTTGAACTGATTCTCCTTGCAGGTGATGTTGCAGTTGATCTCGTCGCTGTTGTCGTCGCAATGGATCTCTCCATCGCATCGGTAGTTGTGCTTGATGCACTTGCCTGTTCCGCAGCGGAACTCGCTCTCCGAACAGTTTCGCATTTGGCAGTTCAGCTCGTCACTGCCATCGCCACAGTCGTTTTCATAGTCGCAGCGCCAGCGGCCGGGGATGCACTTGGAATTGTTGCACTTAAAGTAGGTGGGATCACAGGTGGCCTTGGAGGTGAAACAGCTAGCTGGTTCGTCCTCGCCATTGGGACAATCGTGGTCGTCGTCGCAGCGCCAAGCGAGAGGAATGCATCGACCCGAATCGCATCTGAAAAATAGAAATAGAAACGTTATTTCTCTAAAGGAGTATTTCATGGAATAAGAACACTTACTGGAAGTCATTGGGTCCGCAAGAGTTATTATCACAGTTGGCCTCATCGGACTTGTCCTGACAGTCGGCGTCGCCATCGCACACCCAGACGTAGGGCACGCATCGGTTGTTACCGCACTGGAACTGATCCTTTTTGCAGACGAGCGGCGTGCACGCGGACTCGTCCTCTCCACCCGGACAGTCCTTAACTCCATCACATCGTTTAACATTATCCACGCAGAAAGCACTCGAATTGGCGGTAGCTCCACACTTCATATGGGTATCGAAACAGGTGAACTTGTCGCAGTTGAGTTCATCGGAACTATCGCCACAGTGGTTAATGCCATCGCAGAGGTTCGACGGGTGGGTGCACTTTTTGTTGGCACACTGGTATTGACCCGGTTCGCAGTGGAAGGGTGGACAGGTCTCTGGCTCGTCGCTGCCATCTCCGCAATCATCCTGGGTATCACAACGCCAATAGAACGGAATGCACTTGTACGTGTTGACGCACTCGAAATGGGCAGCCGTACAATTAGCCCGACAAGTGCGTCCATCTTCGTCCAGGACAAAGTTTGTGGGGCACAAGCACTTGTAGTATGGTTCCTCTGGCGATAGGACACACAACGTAGAACAGTTGGCCGCCAGGCATGGATTTCCACTTATCGGCTGTTGCTGTCTGTAGGGATGGAAGACCCGCAGGTCCATCGGTCGATGGATCGTTGTTATCAAAGTGGTGCAGTTTTGACCATTATAGATACTGCAGTACTCAATGGACTTGGTTTCCCAATCGGACCAGTAAATCCGACCCTCCCATACGGCGATGGCAAAGATGTGATGCAGATTCAACAGCGGATTGATACTCCTGGCCAGCAGCAAACGCGTGTGATTGCCATCCAAATCACTCACTGAGATCGTGTCCTCTCTGGCATCGCCCCAGAACAGCTGCTGCGTCTCAAAACTAATGGTCAAAGCGTTAGGCCAACCCAAGCCGTCGCGTATAATCATCTTTGGATTCGAGCCATCCATGCCAGCCTTGCCAATGTGCGGACTGTCGCCCCAGTCCGACCAGAAAATGTGTCGTTGATACGGATGCAGAGCAATGCCACGAGGTTCCCGCAGGTACTCGTTGATCAAAACCTTCCTGTACTTTCCATCAAGCTGAGAAACCTCTATCGTATCCAATCCCTTGTCACACCAGTACAAGTTTTTGGCAACCCAATCGACGGCCAGGCCATCTGGATTCTTAAGCATTGCCTGGTGCAAGGTTTGCGTTATGTTCTCTTTGGGACAGTGTCTTTTGATGGTACCAACGGTGCTGGTTACATCAGACCAGTAGAGGCACTGACTATCCCAATCGTAGTCCAAAGCCACGGCATTGGAAAGCTCATTAATCAAAATACTGCCATTGCCCGCCATGTCCACTTGACGGATGTAGTACCGATTCGAAAATATTAGCTCCATGGACACGTTGCTGGTGGCCTTGCAGGTGTGATGATCCACCAGGGCATAACCCTTGGCACACAAACACTTGTAAGATCCATAGGTGTTAACACAGGTCTGAGAGCACGGTTGCTGCTCATCACACTCATCGATATCCGTGCAGAGGTGCGGACTCTTGGGCAGGACCTTGTAGCCCGGCCGGCAATGACATTGGTAACCAACCAACTTATCCTCGCACTCGTGCTCGCAGATATCCGGGATCAGACACTCGTTAACCTTGCACAGTTCTTCGTCTGAGAAGTCGGCGCAATCATTCCTCCGATCACACAGCAAATCAGCATGGATGCAGGCTCCGTTCTTGCAGCGGAAATCATCGGTGCCATTGCATCCCCGAGTGTGGGCACACAGGCTGCTTGCCTCGTCGGAGCCATCACCGCAATCCGGTTTGCCATCGCAGGTCTGGTTCTTGAATATGCACTGCCCGTCCTGGCACTGGTGCATCAACGGTCCACCTGGACAAGAGTGCGGCAGATAGGCCGGCACACAGCCTTCATACTCATCATCCCCTCCGGGGCAGTCCTCATCTCCATCGCACACATAATGAGAGTCGATGCAGAGACCTGCAGAGAAGGATAATCAGTTTGTTTCAAGATAAATGTATAATACGAATCCTAACTTACCACTGGTGCAGAGATGGGCAGGTGGTAGACAGTCCGGAATATGAGCCACGTTTCCACATTGGGGTCCCTCGTCCTCGCTGCCCTCACCATCGGTTCCGGTGGGGCAGTCCTTTTCCCCGTCACACACCCATTTCTGGGGAATGCAGCGTCCAGAGTTCTTGCATTGGAACAGGTGTGGTCTACAAGGTCGACTCGGACACTGCGGTCCTTCATCCGTGCCATCTTCGCAGTCACTCTTCCCGTCACACTGCCAACTAGCTGGAATACACATTTTGTCGCAAGCGAACTGATTGCCTCGGCACTCGGTGCGGCAGTTAAGTTCATCGCTGCCATCTGGGCAATCTTTCTCACCATCGCAGTGCCAGGACTCGGCAATACAGTTCCCGGAAGCACAACGGAATTGTCCGGCATCACAGCTAACATTGGTACGATCAGCGCAGTCCAACTCATCTGTGCCGTCTGGACAGTCTGGATCACCATCACAGCGCCAGCTTGGCATGATGCACATAGTGCTGTTGCCGCAATGCACGAAGGTCACATCGCCCACCTCACAGGGCGTGGGAGCACACATCTTTTCGTCGCTAAAATCACGGCAATCCTTCATGTTATCGCAGAGGAACTTCCTCGGAATGCACTCTCCGCTTCCGCAGCGGAACTGATCCGGCTGGCATTTGCAGAGCAAGGCGGTTTCATCGCTGCCATCACCACACTGCTGCACTCCGTCGCACTTGTGTTCCTTGGGTATGCATCGATGGTTCTGGCACATAAAGTGCGTATCCGGACACTGGCGGAAGATGCAGTAGCTACGCCACTCGTCCGATCCGTCCGCACAGTGGGTAACATTATCGCAGGTTAGCTCCATGGGGATGCATTCGCCGGAATGGCAATTATATTGCAATGTACCACAGCTCGTATTCACGGGGGCAATGCAGCGACGACCGTCTGGTGCCAGGACGCCCTGGGTACAATGACAGGTGGCCTGGCCGCTCTTATTCAGGATGCATACATCCTCACACAGTCCGTTCAGGATCTTGCATTGATTGGCATCGCAGTTTATGCTACTGTTCTGCACAGCCACAATGCCCATGGGTCGGGTGACATGCTCCCGTAGGAAGAGCACATCCGTGCCAGTGTACTTATTCGCTCGGACCACAGCATGGAGCACCCAGTCTGTCCAGAACAGCAAATCCCCGTATACAGCCATTGCAAAAGCGTGCTTAGGGGTAGAATGGGCCAAGACTACACGGTTGGTGCCATCGTAGTTGGTCCTTTCGATTTTGTCCAGCCTTGCATCAGCCCAGTATAGCTTCTGCTGCTCCAGATCCAAGGTCAGAGCATTGGGCATTTTGATATCAGTTTTTATAATCATCTCCGTTCCGTATCCGGTGAGGTATGATCTCTGAATGCATGGCGTCTCTTCGTTCCAGTTGGTCCAGTAAATCATGCCCAGACATGGCTCCACTGCGATGCCACGCGGCTTGTCCTTCTCCCGAAGACTAATAACGTTCTTCACGTGGTTTTGGTTCTGATCTGGATGGTCGGTGAGATGCCGCAACTCCACGCTCCGAATAGCTGCATTATTGTTTGAGGTCCAAAAGAGCTGTTCATTGACAATATCGTAGGCCAGCCCTTCAATTCGTTCCTGTTGGCCTAGCAAGACGCGCTGGCCAGTACCATTAAAGTGCACCTGATTAATGGTGCTCAGCTGAACATCCGAGTAGTACACCAACTGCTCCTCGTAGTTATAGCTGATGGCGATCACATTCCTCATCAAGCTGCTATTGGAAATCATTTTAACAGGCCAGTTCTTATCGGCATGATCCGTCATATGGATGCTCTCAATGTTGCTTCGATAGCTGAACAGCAGGAAGTTTTCGTATGGCTCACAGCTGATGCCATCAGAAGCCAGGCGACTGTGGGCACAGGCACAGATGGCACTGGTTCCATTGAACAGGCAGAGCTGCTCGCAGTCACCGTTGTTGTGGATACAGGGATTGCTTCCTCGCTGCAGATGTTTGGAGTAGATCTTTAGATCCCTAATGGCATCTTGTTCCGTCTGGATGACCACCTTGGATTGGCTGAGATTAGACAGAGGGGCCACTCTGATAATTCCCTCTGTATACTTGTTCTCTGCCCAATATAGATAGTCTCCCATCTTGGCAAGAGCCACAAGATTGTTGAGACTTTCATTCAGCAATTGCTGCCTAAGGTTTCCATCGTAATCCACCTTCATCAGGGCATCCGGATAACGCTCACACCAGTACACCTTGGTGGCTTCTATGTCCAGGACTAGATTACCAACTGCCCAGTTGGCTCGCGTTTGATTGACCAACACAAATGGTTGACTGCCATCCAGACCAACGCGCCCTATGTGCTGTTGGGTGACATAAAAAAGTAATCCTTGCAATGGATCCACCGCTAGAGCTGTAGGTTTCTCCAAATTGGACACCACCACATATCGATGGCTGCCATCCAGACGAGAAACTTCAATGATATTTCTCTTTGTGTCACTCCAGTAGATGTTTCCAGCTACCCAATCGATGGCAATCCCTCCCAGCCAGTCCTGCTGCTTGTATCCCACGAGGTTTAGGGCCTCGAGAATGGTCTCCCTCTGGGTTCCATCGCGTTTCACTCGCGAGATGCTGCCCAGTTCGGTGTCAGCCCAGTAAAGTGTGTCCGTTGAGGCCAGATAATCGATGAAGCTGGCCGAGCTTACCCGAGAAATGGGCACCAAAGCCTGAGAGATCAGATTTTAACAACTTTTCAAATCTAAGATTGTAAACTATTTCCTTACCGGAGAAGGCGTATCGAACTGTTCCGAAGGATCAATCATTTCCATGCCCTGCAGAACATCGATGGAGTAGAAAATGAATTCCGCCCGCGGAACACAACGTTTTGGATTGTTTGGCTCCACATCGTAACCGAGGGCGCAGCGGCAGACATGTTCCGTGTCCGAGGTGGCCAAGCAAAGGTGCTGACAGCCACCGCGTAAACCGCCCTTGGAACAGGAATTTGAACCCACCTGGGCATCCGCATAGAACATCTTCATACTCTGGATGCTCTCTGAAAAGGAATAAGATGTTAAATTATAGAAACAAAATCTTAGATAATGGTTTCCCTTACTCGTATTGATCCTTAGGAAGGACATGTTGGAGCATGCTTCCTTCTCACATTGCATGATCACGCTCTGAATATTCTCCGGGAAATATAGCGTACCATTGTAGACAGTCAGCGAACTGACCGAGGTAATTGAGCTGGCCACCAGAACCTTATGCGTCTCGTTTCTTGGAATGTCATAATAGGCGATGCCCGAGCTCTTGTAAGCATAGTATAGTCGCTGTGAATCGAAGTCCATGGTCAAACTCTGGAGATTATCCTCGTGCTGATAGATCAGCAAACGACCAGAACCATCAAGATTGGATTGCTCTAACTGGGACATGCTTCCATCGGAGGCCGAGTGTATCCAGTACATCTTTCCACTGCAAGAGCAGAATAGAAGATATGTTTAGCTTATACTTGACAGAATAATTTTCAATTAAACTTACTTAGCCGGATCAAGGACAATGCTGTCCACCATATTCAGATCCTCGTGGATGATGGTCACAAACTCTCCCTTGAGATTACTGGCCAAAATATTGCACTTGATTTGACCCGAGGAGAAGTACAGGTTACGGGCAATCCAGTCAAGGGCAAAGCCATAGGGTTTCTCTATGTTGGTGTTGATGATGGGCTCAATAAGGCCATTCGATAGGCCAGCACTGGAGATTTCATTCTGCTGGATGTCTGACCAGAAGATGCGATTTTCGTCCACCAAGAAGTCTATGCGTTGTGGCGCCACCAACTTTAAAAGTTAATCAAGTTTATAATAATTTCTTTAATATGTACAGTAAACACTCACCTTTGGGGACTGGCGAATAGTTGGTATCGTGTGGTGATCGGGCTGATGAAGATCAATACCGCGAATTTCATCCACCATGACAAAGAGAAGAACCTGTTCATTGGGCACACAATTCCGTTCATCGGTGGGATCTAGGCGCATCATGTGTGGACACTCGCACTTGAAGGTTCCCCTCCCACTCAAAAGACAAAGATGGGAACATCCTCCATTGTTTTCCCCGCATGGATTCCGATCCCAAGGCTGTCGACTTGAGTGCATCACTTGGATGCCAAAAGGCTGGGACTGGGTGCGTTGCAGCACCTGGACATCGCTTCCGTTCCACTTATTGGCCCTGATAACCGATGTGGTTCGCCAATCTGTCCAGTACACATAGTTCTCGAACACAGAAATGGCAAACGGATGAGAAAGAATTTCCTTATTGCGCAGGACTACGTGATGCTCAGATCCATCGTATGTGGTGCTACTGATCGAGTCCGACTTGGCATCCACCCAATACACTCTGTTCTGAGTGTAATCCAGAGTTAAGCCATTGGGCCAGCCAGCACTTAATTGCCAGCTGGTGGAGATCATGCGTCTTCCATCTCCCGACATGCTGGCCCGCTCAATCCTTGGCGAGTTATCATCCCAGTCCGTCCAAAAGAGAAGGCCCTCCCTCGGATCCAAGGCTATGGCTCTTGGGCTCTCCATGTTCCCAGCGATAAGCGTTCGCCGAAAGCTGCCATTCAACTTGGCCACCTCAATCTGGTCCAGATTCGAGTCAATCCAGTATAGGTTCTTGCCCACCCAATCTACGGCCAATCCCTCGGTGGTAGAGAGACCAGAGTGGATAACGGCTTCTACATTTCGCAGACTTTCACCCACCAGCTGACCCTTATAGATCTTGTCGTCGATCACATCCGTCCAGAAGATCTCCACATTGGATTCATTATTGTAAAGGAAATCCAGAGCGATGATATTCCTAATAGAGGTGTAGAAGTTGGCCACGTTCATGCTTTTCAGGTTGACACCCTTAATATCCTGTCTGTTGGTGAAGATTACATAAGGTTCATCCGGAGCGGTGCTTTTGCAGGTGAATCGATCGTAGCTCAGGTCGAATCCATCCAAGCAACGACAATCGTAGCCCTTCCCGCTGCTTTCGCACACCTGGGAACAAGTATCCCAGTGATCGCAGGCGTGCTGCATGCTGCAGCGTTTTCCGTTCGGTTGCAGGTAAAGATGATCAGGGCAGGAGCAGATATATCCTTCTGGCGTATTGTGGCAACGATGTGAGCACTCATGCCCGCGATCGCACAGCTTATCCGCACACAGGAAGCCCTCATCCGTGGTGTCCTCGCAATCGTTCTTTCCATCACAAAGCTGATCGACGGTCACACATTGCTTTGTGAAGCCACACAGCCGATCCGGATGCTCACAAATCACCGTTTCATTCATATCAAACCGGGTGGCATTGATGTGCGTGCAGTTGAACTCATCTGTCTTGTCGAAACAATGTGGAATACCATCGCAGCGCAGAAAGTCCGGAATGCATTCGAATGGATCCAAACAGGCAAACTCTAGTGGCGCGCATTCGCTCAGCTCTTTCCATCCAGTTTGCGGATGGTTGTCGCTCTTGGTCTGGTTGCAGTTAGCCTCGTCACTGAAATCATCACAGTCGTTGATGCCATCGCACATGTGCATCTCACCATGGCAACCAATGGGGCGACAGTACTTTTCGCCTGGTCCGCACTCCAGCTCACAATCTATTTCATCGGCGTTGTTTCTAGAGAAAGAATAAGAAGTATAGTATTAGATATCCAATGACCAGGGCCAGTTTTCTTACCCGCAGTTATCGATGCCATCGCAAACTTCGGCAAACTGGCGACACCTTCCGTTGTTACAATCAAATTCCGGGCACTTGCTGGCCAATATTGTCTCTGACGTCTCATCGGAATCATCATCCGGTCCACAATCAACCACTCCGTCATTAACCCAAGTCAACTGGATGCAGCGGCCGCTCTTCTGGCAGGTGAACTCGTTGCTGTTGCAGGTGTTCTGATGGCAGTTCGCGTGATCCGTTCCATCCGAGCAGTAGGGAATGGTGCTGCATAGCAGGGATCGCTGATAGCAGCGACCATTACAAACGAAGTTAAGGGTTTTATCACAGGTATTCGGATTGCAAGGACCCTTCAGATCGGAGCTCTCGTCGATGCCATCCTCACAGTCCTCGAAGCCATCGCACATGTCCTTGCTATCGATACATTGTCGGGTGCTCCGGCACATGTATCCGGAAGTGCAATTGGGACGAATGGGAGATGGAGCCAACTGGGGGATGCAATGGCTTCCAGTGCCGTTTAGGGTAAACCCATCAGGACACCGGCATATAGCACCTTTGGGTGTGTTTAAGCACATTCCCGGACACTTGGACTGGGCGCAGGCACTGGGTGTTTGGGGAAGAGGTTGGGTGGCCACATCAAAGATCCGCAGATCAGCAGCTCTTCCAGTTCTATCTAAATGCACCGTTGAACTGGTTGTGCTCGATAGGTTGGCATGATGCGCATGGAATCGCCAGATGGCGAAGTTCTTGTTGTCCGCCCAATATATAAGACCATTATTATGCACTATCGAGTATGGATGAAACAGTTGCGACTTGAAGAGCACCTCTCGTCCAGTACCATCAAGCTTCATGTGCTCAATGGTGCCCAAACGCATATCGCACCAGTACAGCTCTTTGGAGCGACTATCCACATCCAAGCTGCGTGGAAATTCCATTGGCATCGCGGTGGTTGCCTTGGCCAGCAGCTCCTTGTGCGTGCCATCCATCCATGCACTGTAAATGCCAGCCTCGCAGGATTGTGACTCCCATTGCGCCCAGTAGAGCAGCCCTGTCGTCGGATCTAGTTCCAGGGACCTTTAGAATGCAAAATTGATTATAATCCTCCTCTAGTTTACATTATATAAGTAAACACACTTACATGACATCACAGTCAGAGTTGAAGGTCAGCACCTTGCTTAAATTCTTCAATGGAGCAACCTGTATGGTTTTATGGCTGGACCAGTACAGGTGATCGTTGATCCAATCGAAGGCCATAGCGTTCACCTTTCTCAGTCCCTGTGCCAGCAGTCGGGAGACACTGCCATTGAGCGACTGACTCCGGATGCTGCACGATAGTTCGTTTACAAAGCCAGCAGACCCCGAGTCTGCTACCGCATAGAACACCGCCTTGCCCCGAACATTTACATCGATGGCTAGCGGTTTGGAGACATTGTAAACCGGCACCATTACATCCGGTTGTTCGCCAATCTCCTTCAGCTGCTGCACTTGCTCGGTGTCCAGCGGTATCCCGCTAATCCTAGCCAGAGGCTTATCACTGTACACCAGAAACTTGTCGAGGGCAGAGAGCAGACAGGTCGTCTGATTGTGCAATTTATAGCCGGCGGTGCACAAGCACTTGGCGCTGGCAAAACCTTTCGTCCATTGTGGCACACAGATCTGGTTGCAACCGGCGTTGTTATCCCGACATGGATGCGCCACCTCGGGCTGCTTTTGGCGGTGGAAAATTCTTAAATTTGTTCCACGGGTTACATTTGAATGGAGGACGCGGGCCTTCATCGAGAATTTGTCGAGGGCAACAATACTCTTGTCCGTCCAGGCAGCTAAATAAATTGTGTTCTCAAAGACCTCCACGGCATGAATCGTTTTCAATGACACTGGGGACTGGGAAAGGAGAAAAAGGGAGTTATTAGATAATGCAAGCCCAAAAAAGTATGCTATAGAAAATGTTGTTAATAAAAATATTTTTAAACAAGAAAGTTATAGGCTTGTTCGAACTATAAACATATCTATTGTTAACTTATTGCGTTAAATATACATTTTTGTAAAATATATACTTCTATATACTTACATCTGGTGACCTTTTGAGGGTCCAACGGTCTTGCCCCTCGTAATTAACACGCTCAACATCATCCTTGTAAATATCAATCCAATACACTAACTCATTTGCCAGGTCCAAGGTGACACTGCTCGGGTGATAAACTTGCTCGGTGACCAAAACAGTGCGACTACTGCCGTCGAGCAGGGAACGCGACAAACTGGGCGTCCAGTCTGTGTAAAACATATAGCCCTTGGTGGGGTCCAGCGCTAGGGATGACAATGGATCTATCTTCTGAAATATAACACGACAGTGGGCCATCGTGTTCGTGCACAGATGGACCAGGCCGTCGTCCTCGCCCACCAAATACCAGTTACCCGACAGCCAGTCCAGATGAAGCTCTGTAAAAACTGTGAGAAAAAAGAAGTTTTATCCTTCTTCTTTTAAACAAGAATACCCTTTGAAAGGATCCCCAAACAAGGTCAAGATATACGGTAACTCACATTGCTGCGGCGAGACGAACGAGGAGAAGGGCAGCGTCCAGTTGACCCCGGCGTCATCGATGCGCTGGCACCGCATTTGCAGTTCATTCCAGCTGAAGTGCAGGGAGCAGAGGGTTCGATTCCGATGCCACACCTCGAAGGCGTGGGCGAAGCGCTCGGGTTGCGTGAACAGCAGTTGCTCCTCGCTGCTGTTGTCATCCTTATCTACAACAGCTTTATCATTATCCTTGCCACCCATGGGTCCGATGACTTCGCCATTGGTTCCAATCCGCCGTATGCCGTCCTGCGAAAGGAAAGTCAGCGTTGCCGACTCCGTTGGTGGCACTATAAATTGAAAGGGATTAGCCGGATGTGTATCTGTATCTGGGAATGTATTTGTATCTCTTACCATTGATTGCCCGGCAGCGACTTCCCTTGGTCTTCGCATAGCCAGAGACGCAGGAGCACTCGTAGGAGCCAGGCGTATTGCGACACACCTGGTCACAGGTGCCTGGCTCGGAGCACTCGTCGTAGTCCACGCAGCGGGTGGAGTTCGATGACTCGGGCACCTGACCCTTGGGGCAGTAGCAGCGTGCCCCCTCGGGGGTCAGTTTGCAGTTGTAGCTGCAGTTAAGCGCGGCACAGGCAGAGTCCTGTTTATCTGTTCGGAATTTGGGATTATGATTAAAGATTTATTTTAAAGCTTAAAAATTCTGATAAATATATAGCTTGAAATTATCAGAAATTGGTTTATGATAACATATATGGTGAACTATAACGTCACGTAATTGTCATGGTTTTCGGCCGTCTAGTCAACTAAAGCAGTCAACTGCACTTACCACATTGCAGCTCATCGTTATCACAGTCCCAGCGGCCATCGCAGAAGCGGGACAACTCCAGGCAGTCGCCATTGAGGCATTGGGCCTCGAAGGCGCGGCACTTGGGCGTATCACCCTTCGGACCTGGTCAAAAGGCAAAAGAGGAGGAGGTGACGGTGGTTAGTGGGTGGCTGGGTTGTAGGGTTATTGGGTTATAGGGTTGCCAAGGCCCGCGGCTTACTTACAGTGCAGTTCGTCGGATGTGTCGCCCTTGCCGCAGTCGAACTCTCCATCGCAGACCCAATTGTTTGGGATGCAGTGGCGGCTAACCTCGCACCGAGTCTGCCCCTCGTTGCAGTTGGGCGCTCCGGCTGGGAAAACAGAACAGAACCAAGCTGAGTACACTTCTCTCTTCACTCCTCTTTACTCTACTGCCCTCCCGTTGCAATAACAATAAGCGAAATGAAGATTTATGTTGGTGGGGTTTGTTAGTGGTCTTGGGGCTGGGAACATTCCGTTGGTCCGCTTTTCGGCCAACAAAAAGTTGCTTCTGCTGTTGTTCGTACAAATCGCTGAATTATTTCGCGAGATATCGTAAATAACACGCAAACAAGGGCAGTCGTGCCCAACTTTCCACAGATATAAAAGTTTGAACTTGCACTTAAAGTGGAAAATCCTAGAAATAACTATGTAATCCTCTAGCACTTATAATTTGATTGGGTTTGTGTTTGGTGGGGGGGTCTACAAATGGAAAGTGTCATCAATATGGTTATCAGGTTTAAGGTTTAGTTTATATCCCCAAAGAATATAGAAAATAGTGAACCAGATTTGGGGATTCTCAAGGGAAATCGATTAAGTTTATGTCTATGAAAGTTCAGACTAATAATCATTTTAGTTTAGCAACTAAACAGAACGATTTTCCTTTGACTATACATTCATTTTAAAAGGAAAGAAATTAGGTTTGCCCAGCAGATGGTCGCAGCTTTCTAAAATGGAAAATAACCCTATTTTCCTTTCATTTCTTCTCCCTTTCATGGTCATTACCCAATTAGCTGGACTTTTATTAAAGCGAATGGAGTTCCATTCTCATTTTTAGGGGGTGACAATGGGCCAACCCCCAGAAGACCACAGAAAAAAAGGGGGAGAAAAAACTGTGACAAACACGCTTCGCTAAATGGCACGTTAATTTTTTGAGTTGACTTTGCTTCCAGTTAGTTGAACTCCCCGTGGCACTTGAAAATGTTTAACAATTGGCCGGCAACATCATTTTTGGCCATTTCCAAGGGGGGGGGCCAGAGTTGATTAAATAAATGCCGGGCTCCCATTTTTGCATCACTCCTCCATTTTGATGGTGGTCAGCATCCCTGAGCACCGTCTCCACGGCTCCCTTGACAAAATTTCCAGCTTCCGTTTCGTTTTCGCCCATTTATTCCGCGTGCCCGTTCCTTTTCGTGGGGAAAAATAAAAAATGTAAACTTTACTTTGGACCCCGTGACTGCATGCCCTTGGGCTTATTACGTATTATATCCGTGTTGCCTTCCGCCAGCGCCATGCAAATTGCCACGCGAATACGGAAAAACGGGAATACGGAAGCACGACAGACGGAGACATGGACACGTCCAATGCTTGTCTCTGGAGTTTAACCTCTTGGCAAGCCAAATATTTTTTGGCCGTTCCCATGTGTCGCCAATGTGGCTTTTATGGTTATAGTCGCGCATGTCGGTCGAATGTGTCGCTCCTTTTTGGGCTCCTCCTGCCACCGTGCCCTCTGCTGCAGGAGAAACTCCATCTGCCGGATCACACAATACCCCAAACCCAAAACCCAAAAACCCAAACCAATACGCTGTTGTTGTCAAGGCATTGTCATTGCCTGCCTTTGATTTGGACCAGCATTGCGGAGAGAATACAACGCGTTATTTGAATTCTTCTTTTGCACATTTTCCATTTTCCTTTTATTTGTGTCAAACAATTTGCATCTCTGAAATGCTCACAAGGAGCACAAATGTATGACTCTAGGAAAACAGGAAAATATTATAATATTGTTCTCGTAATGTCTGCTGACTGGGAACATTCTTCCATTTGCAATGAAATGAGAAAAGCGACCTCATAAAACTTGATACACTCGAAAATGGTATATAAATAAATATGGCAAGTACAAGGGAAATTAGGGGAAAAAGTGAAAGATTAAGAAGAGGATTTCCCTATAACATTAGTTAAGTTTATTTTGCTAGATTTGTATTTACTTCTGATAGAGGTAAACTTTCTTTAATTCTTTAGAAATTCAAATTTTGTAAAAAGTTGACATGTAACCCCGCCGCTTAACCCCCCTTCAACCAAAAGTAATTCCTCATAAAAAGTGTCAACTAAAATATTGCCAAAGCTCAAATATTCACAGTTTTTAAATCCCGAGAGTCCATTTAAGTCAAGCCTCATTTAAAAGTTGCGTATAAATTTGAATAAAATTTGTATGGAGTGGAGAGATCTGAGGAAACTTTTTTGTCGCTAGTGTAACGAGGCCAGTTTAAATGCAATATATCAAGAGGCTTATATATATGACAACACTTTATAAACTTAATATATCTGTGTGTCTGTCTGTATATAAAGATATATATATATGTATGTATTCAGTTCAGTTTAATTGAAATTGCGCGAATGGAGAGAGTTGAGAGGGCCATGTATATACGTATATATAAGGAGATTGTAGATGACAACGATGTGCCAAGCACATTTATTATAATCTGTTGCATTAATATTTGCCGACAATTTGTCGTCTGAGTTGTCGTTCTCTCTTCTTCGGCTGCAGTGCCATAAAAATTAAATTAAAAATGCCAGAAGAACTCTGGTGGGCCACAGCAATTGTTGCAGTTTGCAAACATACAAAAGAAAAAAGATGAAAATGTCTACACATTAATTTTAGCCTTGTGGCTTTTTCCACTTATCAGCAGCCCTCGAGAAAATTAAGGACAAACGCTTAAATTTCCCACTGACAGTCGACCAGAGTTGGCTTTTAAGGCCCATGCCAGGGCTTTCAATTTCCGGATTTGTCAGCCCAAAAATGGCCGGACAACTAATTGCATTTGCTAGGGGCAGCAGCAGCAGAAGCATCACCAGCAGTGGCAAAAGCAGGTGGCCAGTACTCTTGTTGGCCATGTATTTGCGGTGAATTTTTAGGCCCGCCCACCTGTCATTAGGACGAACGGACATACACACACAGGCAATGGAATGTGGTCCCGAAAAAAAAAGAAGAGCGCTTTCGACCAAACAGTCAAACCAATAATAAAGCAATCACCGCCTGCTAATGTCCCCCAGCGGGGGATCTGACAGCTCTTGTGGATTCCGTTCGGTTTTACACACGGATCGAGGATGTGTGGGGCAGGGAGAACATATTGAATACTCACCGCACTCGATGCCCTCATCGGACATGTCCGGACAATCGGCCTTGGAGTCGCATTTCCATCGCATCGGTATGCAGAATCCATCGTTGCATGTGAAGTGCGACGCTGGACAGGGCCCTGCAACGGTATAGATGACGAAATAATGGTCACTCATTGCGATAAGGAAACGAGGAAATGGGGAAACGAGAATGGATATCAAGGAAAAGCCAGCCATGGCAGCCATTCAATCATTTGTGCCCCTGCCAAGTTGGAATTTTAATGAATGCAAAGAAGGAGGTGAGTGTGTGTGTGTGTGTGTGTGGCATGGAAACCATTATGGTAAACACTAAAAGTTCCATTGTTGCCACAAAAGCTATTCATCCATATGGCAAAGACTTATGTTCTAGCAGTAATTACTTGTTTAATATAAATCTATAAGATATTTAGATGATAACATACCAATAGTTTAAAATATGTTAAATTTCATTATCATTCCCAACCTTTGATTATCCCGCATTATTCTAATCGAATCTGCAATCAACATCAGGCTCATCTAATTTATTCCGAAAAATAATAACATTTTCAATCACTTGATGCACAGCTGTGGAACCAATAGGTTGCCAAATTATTTTTCCATTTAATATGCAGAGTGGAGACGTGTTAACGCCACCTTGCCACCACCTACCCACCCAAAAAGCCTGATGCTGTGTGTTCGTTCCAGTCTCTTTTCCTGAAAATGCCAGATAATTTCCATGTTTATGCAGTTGTTGTAGCCCCACGAGAGTACGTGCCTACAATTAAACATTAACAACGGGAGCCACATTGTTGGTAGCCAGTACGTGACTCCGGAACGCTGCATCATTAGCCTGGTGGAAGCTGTTTCTAACATTTCGTAAACAATAAAAAACTAATTTAAATTTGCTTAGAGCATAAATAATAAGTTTGGTGTGGGTGGAAATGCGTCGAGCTTTGCGTTCCCGAAGACCCACTTTCCCAAGTCAAACAAAGTCTCTTCGAGGTGTTTACTCAGCCGCCCAAAAAGCTGAACTTGGAATTCCCATAAAAAGCATGGCTCATGGTTAATGCAGCAACATAACGCATCCAGCAGTCATGTCATTGAAGTGGCTCTTGTTCGTTGCCCTAGTGGCACTACTCAGCATTGGAACTGGCACCTCGGCCAAGCCGAGGAGCACCCACATACAGGCCAGGCCTGGTCCAGAGCAGTTGAGTCGTCTTCAGCGTTTGAATGCCAGGTACTATGCCATTCAGCAGGACGAAGAGGATGGCGATGACATTCTGGAGCACGAGGAGGATCTAGGCGACGATGCTGATGAAGATGAGGATGGTCAGGAAACCAAGGATGAGGAGGAGGAAGAGGAGGAAGACAAGGAAACCAAGGCTAAGGAGGAGAAACAAAAATTGGATCACAAAAGGTTGACCTCTAACACCGCATCCACCAAGACAAAGACTGAAGTGAAGCACCAAGAGGAGCATGAGGAAGAGCCCACCGATGAACTCCAGGAGTCCGAGGACGCAGATGGAGAGGAACCGGTGGAGATAGTTCAGTATCGAGAAGCCGAGCCACGCAATCGCCGGCGAGGTGGCAGACGTAAAGGCAGTCGCAAGGGGCGTGGCAGGAAGAACCGCAGGAAGGCCAACCGCAGGTGCGGCGGCAAGGGCAAACGCGGTCGTCGCGGCCAACGCAGACGTTCTCCATCAAAGCGAAGCGGCACCAAGCGGCGTACAGGCTCCAAAGCCAAAGGACAGGGCCAAAAGAATCAAACAGCCAACAACAAGCCGACTGTAGTGCCATCCACAAAGGTGGCTTAAAGCCTTCAAGACTTCTACCGATAAATGCAGCTTTAAAACTCATTTAAATAACAACCAAACTCTAAATAAACTTTTATAAAAAAACAAAAAAATTAACTTTGATTTTTCTTGAAAACCTAAAAAAATTGTATTCAAATTTATACAGGGTAAAATCTATAACACAATTTTTATTTAATTTCCCAAAAATAATGCTTACAGCTTAATGTTAAACAAGGTCTTAGCGGCAACGATCTGCCAATATCGCGGTATATATCCGTAGGAATAAACTTTATTGTAGCATACTTTTCGGACCAAATACTCACGTATTTCGCCAGAGAAAGTTTTTATCGCAAACTCATACACACACACTCACACACAGGTGTGTATGCCAGGTAACAGCAACCGCAAGTCATAAATTTCGCCAGCTATTTCGCTTTTGTTATAGTGCTTTTTTATGTATTTATGCTGGTTTGCTAGCCCGCTCGCATGACCCCATAAATTATAGAGCGCTGCAATTTCGTTTAGCGGCTTTTGCAGTGTTCGAAATTAGTTTTACGCCTCTTTTTTGATTTAGAGTTGATATTGAGGTTTAGTGCTAGCTAGCTTGCTTGTTCCACATAAAAATCAAAATAAAGTATTGCCCCGTGCAGTCTGTGAAGCCACCCAATGACTGGGTTTTGCCAGCGATGCACTCAATTTCAGTTTATTTTCCCTTCAGCTTATCTTTTGCCCTGACTGCCGCCTCTGCCTTGGCCATTGAGTTCGTTTACCTGACAGCGTCGTCATGCCAATCGTTTGTTTAAGGGTGTTCCACAGTAAACGCTTTTGATTTCAGTTTAAATTGGTAGTAAATTATGATTGGAAATTAAAAACTCGTAAAGGAAAAGCTTTAAAAATCTCTTCAAAAGAAGACAAAACTCAAAAGGTACTAAACTAAATGGACTTAACAAATCCTTGAAAAAAGAAAATAACTGCATAAAAATATTATTAATATTAAGATAATAAAATCTAAGCCATACATTATATTCTTTCAAAGTAAAAACTCCCTCAATTAAAGAGAATTTTCATTGCCTTTCTTCACTCAATTGCAATTTCTGTGAAATTCCTTTCGAGAACATTGAGAGACGTTATTCTGTGTTTACTCTGTCTACCTGTAGCCAATTTCGAGTTGCTCTTATCTGTCTGGACTGCTGTTGGCAGTTGGTCAGCACAATGGGATGGGGCATGTACTCCTCTGGTTGGATAGTTAGTTGGTTGGCTGGTTGGCTAGTTGGGTGGGAGGACGTTTTTGGTGAGTCCTGTCTCTGTTTCAGGAGCGGAGGAGCCCTTGTCTGCCAGCCAACGGCTGCCTGCCACTGACATTTGCCAAATCAAATAGAAATTTTAATTGACTCTTGGCTGGCAGGACGTGCCAACGCTTTAGTTTCCCAACTTTTTTTGGTGTCTTTTCAGGACTGGCTCTTCAATCGGATCGAATCTTTAACATAGCCCTATTACTTTTAGCCTTAAAGCTCTTTGTTTCTAGCTGTTTGCTCTGATTTCCATCGACCCGAAGGGCCGACCTCTGCCCTGAATCTCCGCTTGTTTTTCCATCAACAGGAAAACGGGTTAAGCGCCTTTTGGGCTCGAAGGGAAATTTGCATCTGTCGCTGTTGCGAATTATGTGGGCGCACACGGAAAGCAGAAAGTTTCGGATTCAGGATTCAGATCCAGTTCAGCATCACTCCTACTACTCCCCCTCCTGCTCCCCTTCCTCGTCATCCTCTGCTCCTCTCTGTTTGTCAACAAACTTTGCGCGCATTTTATACCCATGGGTGAAGGGGTAGATTGGTTTTTCGGTTATTATTTTGGTCAAGAAGAGAGTGCTGAGTTTATGCAAATATTATTTATGATTATTACAAGAGTTTTCGAAGTTTAAGTTTGCCACTCAGCAGGCACTAATAAATTAAAATCTTTTAGTATAATAATATGTAGAGTATCCCCTAGTCGTAACCATTACCAACAACTTTCTTTCTTTTTTTTGTTCATGTTTTTGTTTGCTTTTTGGGTCAAAAAGATGTGTGTTTGTGCGCGTTGGTTGTCTGTGTGTAACATAGTTTTTCACTTAATTAGCGCGCTGAATGACGCGTTGACAGTTGGCAGGAGTACGTGCCACGCCTGAGGGGTATGCAACACATACAGTTTTCCGTGATTGTTGTTTTTGCCCCCATCGTTGTTGTTGTTGTTGTTGTTTGAGGGGAGAAGCACAGTTGTCAGCTGAGCAATGTACCAGAGATTTCAGCGATTTCATTCTGCCCAAAGTTTCAACTGCAACGCTAGGCAAGGCAGCGCTCATAATTAAGGACAATTGGTGTTTATTACGGAAGTAAAGGGTCTTCAAATTGGTATTCAAATTTATATCAAACAACACATGTAAAGGTATTAAACTGACAAAAAGGGTTTTTTAAATTAAATGGGTAAGTTTGGAGAAGAGTAACTTTTAGGTAAGTGAGGTTAAAGGAAAATTGAAAGCTTGTATTGAAACTCCTTTAAAAATCTCATTAATGATTCAATTTCCCACAGACTTGATAGATGTTCTACATCTTACCATAAACCCAATTGTAGTTAAAATGTTGCAAGAAAGTTATCGAGGCAGATGGGCTATATAATTGCCACTCAAAATGCACAACAAACTTAACGATTGAATGTTAAGCTTGCCACCATGAAAATCCTCAACATCCTTTACCCCTCTAGAACTGAGTCCATGAATATCGTAAACATTTTCCCTGCCGGCAGCCAACGAATTTCCGCTGTCAGCTCGTGCAATTTGCAGTTCACACATCACTTTTACTTCCGCCATCTCCCGTCTCAATGCCTTTCAACAGCTTTTCATCGTCTTACGCCTTTAATGGAAAACTTTGTGAAAATTTGCTCAACGATGCCCTGGGTAAGTTTCCTTTTTCATGTTTTTCTTGCGATGTCACAACATTTTTTTGCTTTTAATTTTAATGAGCAGCTCCAAGGCAACCATTTTACGCGTCCTTAAAAATCGAAGCTTTAAAAAAACGTTTTATTTCATATTAATCTTATACAGGAAGAATAAATGTGCATGAAATCATAAATAAAAAGAGTTATTTCTGGATAAAATATACCATAAAAAGTGAAGTTGGAATTTGTAGGATAATTGGAATTTTAATAATTAAATATTTCCAATTTTTTTAAACATTTTTAATATGCAGAAAATGCTTTAACTTTATTGCTAAACAAAAAATCAAAGAGTGAAAATGCATGCCTTAAAAAATTCATTTAAAAATAGCTGTTTCCTGGGGCATAAAAAAGGTGACAAAGAGAGTTGTGGGCGGTACAGATTTTCGTTTGGTCATGGTCAGGAGGCAAACCGGGGGAGAGCCCGGAGGAAACAGGAAGCCGGAGTTTCATCCTGTGGTGCTTTGCCTTTTGCCCGCTTTACCCCGCTATCGCTGCGGTGCCGGTCAGCATCTGGCCATACATACCAATATGGCGGCTTCCGTTGGCATTTCAACTTCCTTGTAACTGCGGTCTCAATTTTCATTTATATCGACAGGGCAATCCGATACGATATCCTCGCCTGCTCGTCTCTCCATGTCCCTATGCATAATTCAATGCACTGAAGTGCGCATAATGAGCATGATTGACATAAATGTACTTTAAATGCATACGGGAATTGGTTCTGAATTGGGCATGAGAGTGAGGAAATGGCAGGAGTGAGTTTGCTGGCCAAAACAGGCCAAACAAGGCCTAGAGTGATGCCAAATCAGCTTTTTCTAGACAAGTTTATGATTTGCCTTGCCAGATTATCCTAAAAAGCAAGTCCTTTTTCTAGTTTTCCCATTAGTTAGTTAACTTTTAGTCACTCCTAGTTGTATAAATTTTAATCAGATAAGTAAATGAATTTATAAAAGTCAAAAGTCCGAACCATTTTATTTCGGTTTTTGGTCTACTACTTCCCCTTTTTTTGGGTTAATTTTTTAGTTTGCTAGCATCACTGCATGTTTGAACAGGGGGTGGCTTAAGTGGGTGGGCCTAGACTGACTATAGCTTTGGGCCAGATACCCGTGTCTGGGTTTTTGGCTTGTTTGTCGTGGACATTGGACTTTGCCGGTTTGCCGGCGTTTTTGGTTTCGGTTTGCTCGCTCGGCTTGTTGTCTGTGGCCGTATGTTTTCGGCACTTAAATCGAGTTTATTACGTGCTTTCAGCCCGGCCAAAATGTACAAAATGGAGGCTGAGACTAGAGAGCACTCCTAAAAGCCAAATCACTTAGAATCAACAAAAGTAAAATAAAACTTTAACCCGAAACTTTACTTCAACGGGTCCGGCAATTTGTTTTGTTTGTAAACCACCACAGAAACTTGTAAATGAGTATTTCGTTTATTAAATTTAATTGTTTTGTTTGGTGGGGCGCTTCTGCTCATAAAATAAACAAGAACTTTTCCATCGAAAAACTTTCCGTTGAACAGTTATGAGTTAGATAGAATAGAGGATTACTATACTTGGAAAATCCACCTGAATATATTGAGCATTTTGCATAAAAATAATAAGCTCGACTATTTGACTTTCCAGAGGACCATCTTTTTGCTCCCCTTGGCCCCACTTTTGCCAAAAATTGAGATATTATTTTGCATCCGGATGGACCATAAAAAGTTGCAGCATCATCAACGCTTGTCGAGGGACGAAAATGGGTTGGGGAGGAAAAACTGCGAGATGGAGGAATCCAGCAAAAGGGCTGGAAAACTTTCTCTTTGCATTTGAGGAAAACTTTGTAGCAAATATTTAAAGGAGCTCTGCCACCCTGCTCGTCTCTCGCTCTACCAATTTTTCTTGCATTTCATTGCTGTGTTTTTTGGTTGCCTAAAGGCCAAACTTGCATTAATGAGCCAAAAACTTGATGAGAAGTAGAGCTAAGGAAACAATAAGGACTTCAACACCTTCTTTTTTGGGTGAAAAACGAGAAATACCAGTTTGTAATTAGGTAAAGGAGTATCAAGGGGAATGAATAGTGAAATTTTGGAAAGTTAATTAGAAGAAGTTAGAAGTTAAACAAGACCAAGCAACGTAGTAGATTATAGAAAATATGTGAAAAAGTAACAAGTTGAA